ACGGAATACAAATATCTAAATTTTTCTATTTTTAGATACTGTTTTAGACCTATTATTGATACTAGGTAGCAGCCAAAATTTTTTATTTATTTTTCATGATATTGTACATGGATCAAATATATCATGGTAAATTCTTTGAAAAAAATCGTGTCTTTCACAAATGAAATCTGATAAGTGAGATTTTGAATTAGTGTTTACACAATCTTCTCCTGTTTGAAGAAGTTATTCATCAAAATAATTGAAATATGAAAGTTACTACTTAAAAAAAGAGAGAGATACGCGAAAATAACATAAAATTTTTAAATAATTAAATAATAAATTATAAAAAAAAAAAAATATATTTATAAAGTTTAAAAATAAATAATTAATAATTAATTTTTTACTACTGCAAACCAAGCATAAAACAATGTATGTTTTTTTATAAAATCCTTACAAAGTAAATTTTTTTTATGGAGTTTTTAAATTATATAAAAATCGCTTATTTTTGTTAACTCTTAAGTAAACAGGCCCTAAATATATTTTTGTTCAACCTCCTATAAAACCTCCTCTTAACTTAAACCTCCTATAAAACCTCCTCTTAACTTAGTTGCCTGCTATTCTTCTTAATTTAGTCACTCGTCAAATTATTTTCTCCAATATAATATATAGTGGTGATTCAAATAAAAATATTTCACACTCTGGTGGATGATATTATTTAAAATAGCTCCGTGATGGATCAAATAGAAAATTCCAGGGTCAAGTTAAAAAATATTCTTACAAGGGATAAACTGTTTAAAAATAAAAATAAATATTTAAATTTAAAATATACACATCACAGATCAAAATGACCGTTTTTTCCTAACGAGAAAATCAAATTCTATAGGTCCATCTAGTTTTATTGATTTTGAATTAGGTTTATTTTTTTTTAATAAAATCCCTGTAGTTAGATCAATCAAATATATTAATCCTTTAAAATAAATTTATTAATGAATAATTAACTTTTCCAAAATAAAAATACTTGCAAAATGTATAGAAAATTGATTTAATGCTTTTAGCTGAGAAGGTAAAAAAACTGAATAAATATAATATTTAAATTTTTAATTATTTTTATGAAAATTTAAATTTAGAAAATGTAATTTAATTATATAAATTTTGAATTGAAAAAAATTAAGTAATTAGTTATAAAGTTACACGATCTTTTAATGAAAATATAAGAGCGCATAATTTATTTTTTAAAATAAAAAATTCAAGAATTTTAACATCTAGGGATTATACATTTAATCAACTAAATTATAAGATATTGATTATAATAAAATAAATTACATGGATTTAATTTAAAATTACGAAAAATTAGAAGGGCCTCCCCTCTTTTAAAACAGTCCATTTGGGCTGATTCGCATTGCACTTAGTTTGTTTTCCTAGAAAAGGCCCACTGCGTCTTTGTAACTTGTCACGTTTAACGAAAGCCATAGTCCCTCTTTTGCACACAAAACAAAAAACCACTAACTTCGGGCCTGTGCAAGGGCATTGCAATGTTTGGTAAGAATGATAATTTACCTTTCAGCGAGGAAAAAAAAAGAGAGAGAGTCACAGTTTACTGGCCTTGATTCAATACCCTGGTTTTGGTTTTATCACTTTATGTCTCTACTGTGCACTCAAAGGGCCGTGCAATTGCAAATCAGGTGGATCCTGATTTTTTATTTTCCATGATGTCTGTGTCTGTTGCCTCAATGCCTGGATTTAACCCTTATATATATGTGTGTGTGTGTGTGGCAAATGCATTCAAACAATCTGTCATGTTCATTGTTGTTGCGTGACCTTGTGCGTGCTTGGTTGAATCCCCTTGCATCCTTTTTGGAAGTTTATGTTTCTCCCAAATAACAACTGGTCGTTACCGAAGAATTGATTTGTTTAGAATTAACATCTGTTTTTCGATTTTCACTCGGTTTTCATTAGAATTTGGAGGCTGCTGCAAATAGGGAAATCAACCAAATTATTTCATGTAGAGTAAATGCAAAGAAAGGGCCCAAGGACAAATACCAATAAGAGGTAGTCAACACAAGCAAAAATACAAGAAATAATTTTGGGCAAAAACTAAAAACGATCACAAAAATAAGAATACATGATTTATTTCTTTTATTTTTACTCGTGTTCCCTAACCTGCTTTTTTTTTTTTTTTTTGACCAGGTGTTTCTCACATCTGATGCGCTTTACGCCTTCATGCTTTGAAGATCCGAAGCCAACAAGAACAAATGCACATAAAAAAGAGAGACTAATCCCTACCCTGGTTAGAAAAAGGAATGATGAGCGTAATTAGCACTGCTCTTTCATCCAAAAGAATTATTAGCGCTGCTTTTTATTTTCTCTTTTGTCCCATGCGTATCCTGGTCCCATGCAACGAGACAGGGATTTTTTAAAAAAATAATTTTGTTGGATTTTGTTTTTAGCAGGTATTGAAAACACTAAAATTATAAAAATCCTCTCATCAAATCTTATTGAAATTAAAAAAACCAAAAACACTGAAAAAGGGATTAAAAACAAAAGGAAAAATCAACCCCTTGGTCCTTATAGTTTCCTTGAGTTTTTAGTCAGGTCCCTATAGTTTTTCCTCCTTTTTATTGGATCTTCAAGTTTGTTCTATTTGATCTATTAGTCTTTTATATGTTAAAACCATTAAATGAGTGCTAATAGTGTTAAATAGAAATTATGGCACAAGCATATGGCCATATTTCTATAAGTAAGATTCAGATGGAAAATACATGAGGCAAATTGGCTCTCTTCACACTCTCATTTGGAAGCTAGGTTTTAGCCTTCAGATATGCTACTCAGAAAAGCAAAAAGGAGAAGGGAGAAGGGATGAGCAAGGGGGATTGGGATATCTTCATTGAATAAGGAGAAGTTGTGAATGGAGGGCATAAGGGGAGAGGGAGAAGGGAAGATCATCGTTGGGTCGGAAGAAGTTGAGAAGGGAGAAGGGAAGTGTCGTTGGGTCAGAAGAAGTTGAGAAGGGAGAAGGACAAGCAAAGTAGGTCACCATCGGTGTCAAAATGAGACCATAAAGAGGGTAGTTGAGAATTGGGAAGTGGATCACTATTAGCATCAATGGGAGGGACATCTCATATTGAACCTTAAATTATGTAACAATGGCAAAGGTAAACAATGCAACTTCTCCAACTATGCATTGTGATGATTGAATGGTAACTCCCTTGAATATTCACAAGCACAATCTATCTAGTGCTTTATCTCCTAGCATTTGTAACTTTTCACAACTAGTTGGGTTCAGTTTGTCTAAAAAATTTATTTGTGGTTGTAAATGGAATAAATATTTTGATTATTTGATTCTTACAACCATGCTTATTTGTTGAATATTTGATGGTTGAATGAATATTTTGATCATTTGAATATTATTTTGTCAAATGTCTTTCAAGAACCTTGACACGGGGGAAGAAATTGGCAAGTACAAAAGTGAGCTCCTCGTTTTGAAGAATTGAAAAGAGTTGAAGAAATTATACATATGCTAATTAGAATGCTGTTATTGGTTGTATCCTAGTTGTTGTTTAAGACCTTAGGACTATTCGTTTGAGCATTTGAAAGTTTTATTCGAGTTGTTCCAATTTATAGTGCATAGGGTAGTTGCTACATATTTTAAAGATCGATTTGAGGTGTAAAGTCCTATCTTGTAATTTTTTGGGATCTTGAAGTGGCATGTGGATCACTTTGTTTAAAATTGGTGTAAAACGAATACCAATAGTAAAAAGAATCTTGCTCGTTGAAGTTTAGGCATCTATTCTTCTCACTTTGAATTGTTGTTTTGGATACTTGGCCTTGCAATATTGCTTTGAAATCACGTTAATTTGCTAATTTTAACAAGTTCTAAGTTGATATCAATAAACTACAAGCAAAGAAACAAACTACAAACAAATCTCAAAGTATGTAGTTGAATTAAGTGAAACTTCGAGCAGCAAAGCAATAAAGAAATAAAACTTGTGGTAATTAAATGCACATCATGAGCATACCCAGAAAAATAAAAATAAATGCGCATCATAAGTCAAGAACCATTTGATAGCACAGACACATGAAACCCCTTACTATCTAGAATAACATGCAGCACGTTCTTGTCTTGTTACTATCAGATATACATGTACATATTGTGGTGGCTGAGCATTTAGATTGATCGGAGAATATCCCGAGACAAAACACAACTTTAGTCACTTCTATATACTTTGTATGAATAGCAGTCAAGATAATGTGATAAGTCAAATGGGATTTTGATTTTAATACTTCAAACCCCCCCCCCCAAAAAAAAAAAGAAAGCATGTTAAGAATAGCATTAGCAAAGTAAAAGATGCAGAAATAAAAAAAATCAAAATAAATACAATAGAAATAATAAAAAAAAACATACTGAAACCTAATACAAGCAAACTGTTTATATTAACCTTCTAAAGAGAGAAAAGACAATAAATAGAGAAGACGGTGACTATCTTGACTAATTTTATGAAGCTTGACTATGATGATTTTACATCTTTCTTCTCTGTATCATATTGAAGTGTAATGTAATAGAAGAGATGATGAGCCAACACCAAGTGTAAAGCTTTCTGATTATGCTTATGTCTTTAGTTTACACGAGCAAATTTGGGTTGCCTTATTTCAAACATGAATCTATCTTTCCACATGGATGTTTAATCAACTATGTAGAAAATTATTCAGTTATCCACCACTTCATTACTTTTTAAGAGTTTTTTAACATTGTTATCACTTATTTAATATTTTTAAATATAAAGGACTAGTGAATTTAATAGAGTAAACTTAAAGAATTTAAAAAAAAATTATAAAATCTGATTAAAAATTCAGAAAAATTATATGAACCAATGGATTAATTTTTTCAAAGAAAAATTCAATATAACTATAAAGATTTGTGATTATGCATTCCATGATAATAGTAAATCGTAGACGACTCACATCAATAAATCAAGTTCGTGGACATGAAGTAGGCAATAATTCGCCCAAGCACCCAGAGTCTGATGCCGGCGCCAATTTTAGTTCAGGATAAGGTTACTTCCTCTCCTTCTCTTTGTGGCTTCTACGGCCTCTCTTCTCTCTTCCCACATCTCCGAGAGAGAGAAGAGAAATCAACTCAATCAACCCTAGCAATGGCTACACTTCAAGCCTCCCTTCTCTGCAAACCTTGCCTCTCATTCACGTCTCCCTCGCCCCCAAAGCACCGACTTCTTCACTCTACCTCTTCGGCACTTCATCACTCACCTCTTTTCCCTTTCAATCCGCTCAGTCTCTCACAGCCTTCTGTCCGTACGGTTAGCTCAAATTTTCACAAGTTTCCATTTCGCCCGCGCGCGGCCCCCAACCCTTTTCACATTTCGACCGGAGAGCGAAACTTCGTGGTCGGAATCGAATTCTTGGGAGATATTTCTAATTTAACTGGCAAGGAATCGGATGCCAATGAAAATGTTGGGGGGAGATTAAATGTTATGGGAGACAGTTCAGTTTCAGATTCAAAACAATCGAGTGTCGACGGAGTTGATGCTGGAAGCTCCCAGATTGAGTTGCAGAGTGATACTGGGGAATTGACTTCGGAGGCTGATGAAGTGGGGGTGTGAGAAGCCTGTAGAACGGGAAGAAGAAATAATACAAATTCGGGGGGAGAAAGGAGGTTGGCGACGCTAGATTGCCCTTTTGTGGCGTTCTTGGTGGGTTTGTGGGCGAGGGCGAGGGATGTAATTCAGAAGGCTTTCTCTGATTTCTTAAATTGGTGGCCTTTTTGGCGGCAGGAGAAACATTTAGCGCGCTTGATTGCTGAGGCTGACGCGAATCCTCAAGATGCGACAAAGCAGAGTGCTCTGCTTGCTGAACTAAACAAGCACAGGTTTGGCCGTGCACTCTATACTTTTGCCTCTCCTCTCTTCTTTCTTTCTTTATTTGTTGGCGAATTCCTCTGTCTCGTGGTGAGAGTTGGGTGCAAAATGAGAAATTTTGTTTTTGAATATCCACAAAGAAATCATCCTGAGCTCTGAATCTATCTTTCCACATGGATGTTTAATCAACTATGTAGAAATTATTCAGTTATCCACCACTTCATTACTTTTTAAGAGTTTTTTAACATTGTTATCACTTATTTAATATTTTTAAATATAAAGGACTAGTGAATTTAATAGAGTAAACTTAAAGAATTTATTAAAAAAAATTATAAAAATCTGATTAAAAATTCAGAAAAATTATATGAACCAATGGATTAATTTTTTCAAAGAAAAATTCAATATAACTATAAGATTTGTGATTATGCATTCCATGATAATAGTAAATCGTAGACGACTCACATCAATAAATCAAGTTCGTGGACATGAAGTAGGCAATAATTCGCCCAAGCACCCAGAGTCTGATGCCGGCGCCAATTTTAGTTCAGGATAAGGTTACTTCCTCTCCTTCTCTTTGTGGCTTCTACGGCCTCTCTTCTCTCTTCCCACATCTCCGAGAGAGAAGAGAAATCAACTCAATCAACCCTAGCAATGGCTACACTTCAAGCCTCCCTTCTCTGCAAACCTTGCCTCTCATTCACGTCTCCCTCGCCCCCAAAGCACCGACTTCTTCACTCTACCTCTTCGGCACTTCATCACTCACCTCTTTTCCCTTTCAATCCCCTCAGTCTCTCACAGCCTTCTGTCCGTACGGTTAGCTCAAATTTTCACAAGTTTCCATTTCGCCCGCGCGGCCCCCCAACCCTTTTCACATTTCGACCGGAGAGCGAAACTTCGTGGTCGGAATCGAATTCTTTGGGAGATATTTCTAATTTAACTGGCAAGGAATCGGATGCCAATGAATGTTGGGGGGAGATTAAATGTTATGGGAGACAGTTCAGTTTCAGATTCAAAACAATCGAGTGTCGACGGAGTTGATGCTGGAAGCTCCCAGATTGAGTTGCAAGAGTGATACTGGGGAATTGACTTCGGAGGCTGATGAAGTGGGGGGGGTGAGAAGCCTGTAGAACGGGAAGAAAATAATACAAATTCGGGGGAAAAGGAGGTTGGCGACGCTAGATTGCCCTTTGTGGCGTTCTTGGTGGGTTTGTGGGCGAGGGCGAGGGATGTAATTCAGAAGGCTTTCTCTGATTTCTTAAATTGGTGGCCTTTTTGGCGGCAGGAGAAACATTTAGCGCGCTTGATTGCTGAGGCTGACGCGAATCCTCAAGATGCGACAAAGCAGAGTGCTCTGCTTGCTGAACTAAACAAGCACAGGTTTGGCCGTGCACCTCTATACTTTTGCCTCTCCTCTCTTCTTTCTTTCTTTATTTGTTGGCGAATTCCTCTGTCTCGTGGTGAGAGTTGGGTGCAAAATGAGAAATTTTGTTTTTGAATATCCACAAAGAAATCATCCTGAGCTCTAAAAGACAGAACAAGTTGTGCCTGATTTTCCTATCTAAACATTTCTTTGGCATGAGTAGTTTTTAAGATATTGCATTGCATGCTTTTATTGTAAAGTACCTTGTTGCCCAGACGATGGAGTAGAATAGAAGAAAATTAAATAGTCAATTTCGAATTTGAAAAAAAATAAATTGAAATATATAAAAGTCGGGCAAATTCACATTTTTTATTCATTCAAAGACCATGCTGGAAAGAGGTTGTATCGTGTTACAGAAAGTGGGCATACTCAACTGGTTACACGCACTATTCTTTAAGCAGAGTTTCTGTCAAAATTCTTTCATAATTTTTTTAACAATTTTTTATATGTATATGGCCCATTTAGTTCTATGTGAACTTTCTCTTTGTTTTTAGTCCGGAGTCTGTCATCAAACGTTTTGAAGAAAGGGATCGCGCTGTGGACAGCAGAGGAGTTGTAGAATATCTTAGAGCTCTTGTGGCCACTAATGTTATTGCTGAATATCTTCCCGACGAGAGATCTGATAAACCTTCTAGTCTTCCAACCTTGGTAATTAGTTTGTATTAATTTTTCTTCTTGCTATATTTCCCCCTTCTCTGCTTGCCAATTCTTCATTGCCCTTTTTTAATTAGCAGAGGAGTACAGTGCCACATTGTTTTGCTGTGTATTTGTTCATGGATATTGGTGTGTCCAACATAAAAAAAAGTTATTATTTTTTTGGGCAATTGGCAGAAATTATTTGTGACTGCTATAATTAAAAGGTGTCCCACTGATGTATGTTTGATCTTCATGGTGTACTATCAAGTTAAAGTTTTGTGCAGTTATCTTCTCTTCAAACTTGTCCACCATTTCCTTAGCAAGAGTCTTATGATGTAAAATTGACAGGATGGTTTTGTAACTCCAAATTTTTTCAATATATCCTTCTCAATACGCTTGTATTTTCTAGATCTAAAATGTAATTTGCCTTTTTGCTTCAAGTTGAGGATAGGATTAAATGGTGTGCCTGAAGGATGATTCTTGTCTTCCCCTTCTATTTATACTTTATCTTTAGTTGATGTATAAAATTATTCTTTCCTTTATGTTCTTATTTCTAAATTGCTTGTTTAATTCTACCATTAACGAGGAACAAAAAAATAATATATGGTCTGTTTGATTCCATGTTTTGTCTTTATGTTCTTAAAATAATTCTGTCAATAAGTTTTTGAAAACAAGTTTGTATAATAAGCAGACCAAAGAACTGTTTGAATAATTTGTTTTAAACGGAAACTGCAAATGTTTTCTCATGTATTTGCATGTAGTTTGAGCATAAGCCATAATATTGAAGATTCATGAATAGTGTAGGTTGTGAGCGATTTATATATGTAATGCCATTAAACAGGTTTGGTGAAATTTACAAGATATGTTAAATGTTTGAGTTTTTGTCTTCCACAGAAATCATTTTTTCTGCTTTAAAGTACAATGAGTGAAAAGTGAAAACAATATGATTGAACAAGGCTTTTTTTTTAATCTTTAAAAATAAAAAATTGCATTTGAGAATAGAAATCAAGCAGGCCATTAGTCCCTCACAAGTTACAAGCTTCATGCTCTGAATATTTTTCTTCTATTAACATTTAATTTTACATTTTTTTTTGGAATTTCCCATTAGATGTATTTTTGGTTCATGGTTAAATTGCATTACATTATGGAACTGACCGTAAGTTTACTGTTGCAGTTGCAAGATTTAAAGCAGCGAGCATCAGGTAACATGGATGAGCCTTTTCTGAATCCTGGAATCTCTGAGAAGCAGCCATTGCATGTGGTTATGGTAACATTTACTGCAGACGGCATGTTCTCCATGCTTTGTGTTTAATGATAACTTATTCTTTGATTGTGGGAAAAAATCAGCAAGTTTTTATTTCTTAATCCATTTTTCCTTTTATGTTTGTTCTGTAACTCACAAATGTATTTCCTTCTTAAGGTTGAACCAAAGGTATCAAACAAATCACGTTTTGCACAGGAGCTTATCTCAACCATCTTATTCACTATTGCTGTGGGATTGGTTTGGTATGAGTATTTAGTCTCTTCTCTTTCTGCTGCTCTTGTGTATAATATCTACTTGTTTCCTGAATTTTCATTTGTGGTATTCCAAAATATAATTGCATTTTAGGTTTATGGGGGCTGCTGCACTTCAAAAATACATTGGAAGCTTAGGTGGGATTGGAACTTCAGGTGTTGGCTCAAGTTCTTCCTATTCCCCAAAGGAGTTGAATAAGGAAGTGATGCCAGAGAAGGTTAACTTCTTAAGGCTTATGTTAACATTGTCTGATTTCTTTAATTCAAATAGCTGCCTGTGTGATTCTTAAAAACAAGATGATTGAATTAGCTTAGGAATGGATAAGGACAAATTTTGAGCTGCCAAAGATTTAGATGAAAAGATCAAAGACTGTTAAGGGGAAAAATTAACAACCACACCATTCTACATGATATACATAATGTGTAAGGCCCTTGTTCTTGGTTTATGTAGTTATATTATAATGTGGTATTTTCCATTGGCAGTTAGATTGGAAAGCTTTTGTTGGCTCTTAATTGCTTTGGTGCCTGTCTTATCCTTCTGGTTTGTCTTATCAGATTATAACCTGCTATTTCATATATGTAGGGATATTTGTGAGATTCGTTATAGTTTGTAGCCTTTTTGGGATTTTGTTTTTCTTTTTTGTAAGTTTTGGAAGACTTCTTGTTCTTCCCCAATATGTATTTATTCCCTTCTTTCTAATAATAATTTATCAGTTAAATAAATTCCATTCAACCAGTCAACTGTAAATTAGGTATATTTTCTTATCCCAGAGTTTTGTTATTTGTTATATGGAAGATGTGCAAAATGCCATCAAATAAGGAGCTCTTCTATTCTGCCTTGTAAAATCTCTTTATCTTTGTGTCTGTTCCTGCCCTTGCAGAACGTCAAAACATTCAAAGATGTGAAAGGCTGCGATGATGCAAAGCAAGAGCTTGAGGAAGTTGTAGAGTATCTAAAAAATCCATCTAAGTTTACACGCCTTGGAGGAAAGTTGCCTAAGGTTTGAACAAATCGTCATCCTTTTGTTAATTTTTTATTCTGTCTTAGTTTGATTTTTTCTATATTCTCCTCTACCCTTATGGATTTCTCATCTCTTAATAAGAGGCCAGTAAGAGGCCCTGGGTTTTCCTAGATGTTCACAGCCATGAATATACTTTTGCAAATTGTGTTATATTCATAGTAATTGATAAATAGACAAGCTAGCTTTTGTAATCATGGTTTATGTTTTTTATTTCTAAATTTGTTTGCCTAACATGCTATGCTGATGAATTTGCTTGTCTTCTCATAATAAGCTGTCATGTCATTTAGTTTGCGTTTGTTTTTACATTTTATTTGTTTCTGTTGTTTACCATGGGAGCCTGAGAAATTCCATTTTACAGGGGATTCTCTTGACAGGAGCACCTGGAACCGGGAAAACTCTGTTAGCCAAGGTCAGTTAGTTCTTGAACTGTTCATTCATATATATATATATATATAACTTTCAGGAAGTTTTTGTCTTTTAAAATTAGGACCATGTTGTCTGCCTTATGTTTATTTCTGGTTTTCACTATCATTGATGCGTCACTTCTATATGGATCCTGAAACTAAGTAGGTTTGTGATTTTCTACATGGAGATGTCTATCTAGGGAGGCTTTCAGTCAAATTTGCCAAGGCAGTTTTTTCTTTTTCAATTTTTCTTGAATCAAGTTGTCACATTGTTTACTTTCTCGTTTTTATTAATTTTATTAAATTCACCATGGCAAAATATCATTAGGGACTTGTTTTTATTCTTATTTTACTTATATGTTGGTGTTTATTGACTCTTGAATGTCTTAAGTTTCACTACTTCTCTAGCTATTAACATTCCTTGAATCATTTGATGATGTAGATGTCATTTTATTGCTTTCATTTCATCTGGTCCTCTCCTGAAAAGTGAATCTCATATTCATTCTTTAGAATATTTGAACCTCAACTTATAGATGCAATACTTTCTTGTCATGGGCATTCTGAGTTAATCTATTGAAACTCCTAATTGAATCTGAGAGTATTTGGTTTTTCTGGGATGTCAAAGGCAATTGCTGGAGAAGCGGGCGTTCCTTTTTTCTATAGGGCTGGATCTGAATTTGAGGAAATGTAAGTCTTATTTTGCCTTCTACTTTTTTCCTCTGTTAAATCACGGGTGTCCAACACCCATGTATTGTTGAATTAAGCTGCTGCTGCTGCAGTTCGAGCATTCTTATCATGCACATGTGTACTATGTAACCAATAGCTATCAGTATATACTAAAATGTTTGGTTTTAGGGAAGCTCATTTTCATATAACTTTTCTTACTGTAGGTTTGTTGGGGTTGGTGCACGACGAGTACGATCATTATTTCAAGCAGCCAAAAAGAAGGTTTGTTGCTATTGACCAATGCTCTCTTCAAATTCATCTGTATTTTGGTTTACTGTGAACCACATGGTTTCCCTTATTAGTTTCTGCTTGTGTGACATGTTTTTCTCCCCATCCTTTTTAGGCTCCCTGTATTATTTTTATCGATGAAATAGATGCTGTTGGATCAACAAGGAAACAGTGGGAAGGCCACACGAAGAAGACATTACATCAACTACTTGTCGAAATGGATGGCTTTGAGCAGAATGAGGTATCTTCAAACATTTTGGACCATCAATTGTTTGATTTTGTTTTTCAAAATTATTTATCATCTTCATCTTGCAGGGAATAATATTAATGGCTGCTACAAACCTGCCAGATATTCTTGATCCAGCCTTAACGAGGCCTGGTAGATTTGATCGACATGTAAGTTCCTTTTCTTTTATCAATTTTTAAATGAATAATTTACCAAGAAAACAAGAGAAGTGCAAAGAAAGAGGATATGGAACCCTCCAAGAACAACCAAATAGCAATAAAACAAAGGGATAAAAGGGTGACGAGTGACCAATGGGAATTGAGTCTAGCGGAAGGAGTTAGTCTTTTACAATGTGGCAAACCAAGGTTCAAATCTCCGCTGGGAAAGCTGTCCAAATTTAGTACCCGACTGTACTTTGAATAGGATTGCCTCTAGTCGGAGAATGCCTGTGAGCAGTTAAAAAAAAAAAAAAGTGGCAAGAGGCTTGCTTTGGACCATATATTAAAGTCAATGTTGCTCTGTAAAGCCTTGTTCGTACTCCATCTTTCAATGTGCTTAGTAGTCTATATTTATAGATCTGCCTGTTAAAGTGTATTAAATATTTTCTTGAATGACTTCAAATTATTTTGCTATAGAATATAGAAAACTAATAATATCCCATTCTAGATTGTTGTGCCCAATCCAGATGTACGTGGTCGCCAAGAAATTTTGGAGCTCTACTTGCAAGATAAACCTTTAGCTGAAGATGTAGATGTGAAAACATTAGCTCGTGGGACACCAGGATTTAATGGGGCAGGTGGATTGCTGTTCAATAAATTCAATAAACATTGCATTTCTGTTAATTTGATTCTTATCGCCCTTCAAATTCCTGCTGCTGATGTTCTTAATATTGGATCCTTAAATTAGATCTTGCAAACCTGGTAAACATTGCTGCCATTAAAGCTGCTGTTGAAGGTGCAGAGAAATTGACAGCTACACAGTTGGAGTTTGCAAAAGACAGGATAATCATGGGAACCGAGCGTAAAACAATGTTCATATCAGAGGAGTCAAAAAAGGTATACGCGTATATACAAGAATGTCCAATTTGGCACTTGACCGCATGGCCTATAAGGGTCGCACGTACTATGTATGGGCTTTCAGTCTTGACAGTATATTTTTCATGAAATTCTGCACTAAATTAATTGTATTTTCAACTTTGTCCTTGCCATAGAAAATTCATTGATATGTTGTATTAAAAAAAAAAAGGAAAAAATAGAAGAAAATTCATTGATATGTTGTCTAACATAGCTTTCAAAATTTTCAGCTTACTGCTTATCATGAGAGTGGGCATGCAATTGTTGCCTTCAATACTGAGGGTGCACATCCGATTCACAAGGCAACAATCATGCCACGCGGATCTGCCTTAGGAATGGTCACCCAACTCCCCTCAAATGATGAGACGTCAATCAGCAAGAAACAGTTATTAGCACGCCTTGATGTTTGCATGGGTGGAAGAGTTGCAGAAGAGCTTATCTTTGGTCACGATCATATAACCACTGGCGCAAGTAGTGATCTTCATACAGCAACTGAGCTTGCCCAATATATGGTAAATTATGCACCTGGGTTTAGTGCCAACTGTAATGTTTCTATTTGATGAGCTAGGGGTCATTTCCCCACTTCTCTTTCCCTTAATGAATTAATATGAAATTGCTGTGCCATTTTCAATCCTAGTCAATTATTACCTACTTAAATTTGTAACGGCAAAGTCATTTTAACTTGCCCCAAAAATGAGCTAGATCTCTTGGCCAAAATATTTGCAAGAACTAGTTGCAGCCAGACTTATCTTTCCTATATAAAATGGCATTTAAATCCTTTTTTTTTCCTTTTAACTTGGTGGCGTACTTATGTTTTCTTCCCCCGTTCAAGGTCTCAAATTGTGGTATGAGTGATGCAATTGGACCAGTTCATATAAAGGAAAGACCAAGTTCTGATATGCAATCACGAATTGATGCAGAGGTTAATGTTCTAAATCTAAACTTTATAATTCTGATGGCAAAAATCTTGTATATATATTTTTAACCCCTCTTCTATCCCTTGCTGGATTCTTCTTTTCATTATCATCAAACCCCCCAAAAAAAAAAGAAGGGAAAGGGAAAGGTGAAAAAAAAAACATTAAAGTTACTTGTATTTGAATTTTCCCCCTTGCTGTGCAGGTTGTGAAACTCCTTAGAGAAGCATATGACCGTGTGAAAGCCCTTTTAAAGAAGGTCGGTCAAAATATGTTGTTGTCTATTATTCTAAGTCTTTTAATTTAAAAGGAGAAATCTCTCTCTGAGGAAAGTAGACCTCACTTCACTGTTTATGTTTTCTTTAACTGCTGTTTGATTTGGCTAAATGTAGCATCTTTGTGATCTTTGAAATCGATTCAATTTCCTATAAAATGAGGTTACTAACTCAAATAAAGGTTGCAATTCTTTGGATATACTCATTTTTATCCTTAGTAACTTGGGACAATTTTTTTTTTTTCCAGCATGAGAAAGCATTACATGCACTGGCTAATGCATTATTGGAGTATGAGACACTTAATGCTGAAGATATAACGAGAATACTTCTCCCCTACCGAGAAGGACGGTTGCCAGAGCAACAGGAACAAGAAGCAGAAGGGGAGCTTGTCTTAGCCTGATATTTCTTTCATCTTATTTGTAACTAAACTATGGGGGAAGCTCTGTACAGTATATCTGGAAGTCCTACAGGTATTGATCTTAATCCAATTTCTGCTGTTCCTCTTCTGTCTGCATACTATTTTTTGTCATCAAATTCTTATAGAAAGCAAGTTATACCTCTTGGAGCATATTGGGCGCAAGTAGCCCTCCGCACAATGACAATACTCAACAGTCAGTTATTAGACTCGCGGAAAGCAATATCCATTCTTTTTAGGAAAAAAAAAACTTGTGTAATTTGTAAAATATTACTGTCTTCATTGGTTACGAATTTATGATTTATTCTGAGACCCGAGTGTCTGTTGGCAAGCTTGAGTGGTCACTTAAAGAATGGAAGAATGGACTTCAACCTTCCAGTCCCCAGGAGCATTAATGAATTGTATCCCTGAGTTCCTGGAACCTCGAGCCATTCTTTGGTGGGGATTTTGGTGGAGCAACAGCGTCAGTTTTGAACGAGCAAATTCAGTCTTAAAAATCAAAGTCGCCTGTTTGCGGGCACCAAATTCCAGTCACCATCTGTCTCCAAAGTACGCTATGGCTTGTGAACTTTGGCAAATGACAAGCATGTCCTTTCCTTAATCTTGTATGCTTATTTCTGTTATTGGTTGCTGCTGCTGCTTTCATTTATTTTTAAAAACTATCAATATTCGCATCATCAATACAGCAATTGTATTGTATTTGATCATGTCGAAGTTAGGTGAAGTTCAAGTTCGTTGAAGCGCCTTGGCAGTCGCTATTATTTTGTAGTTTTAGTGTTTTTCTAGGATTTCACTCTTGTATGCCCTGCAATTTTGAGCTAATTGAATTATTTAATGAAGCACATTGTTGCTGGCTTGCTGCTTTATGATAAGCTAGACTTACAACGTTACCGTACCGCGTACCAGTTTGAGTGCCCGATTATTAGCGTTCAGTTTTTAGTGAACATCTCTTCTGGTATAATTTTAAAGCCATTTCCTACTTTATTCATAACAATGTGTCTTGTTTTGTTGCCCAGAATAACATTGTATCTTGAAACATTAAGAACTTATTTATGACAATTGTACTGTGTTAAGTGTTACAAAAATAAATACCAAAAATAACAAGTCCGAAATTGTACATGAGTTAAAAAGGCACGAGCTCTGAAAAGAAGTGTCCAGATTCTTGCGGGTTTCAAAAATGTGGAGGGTTGTAATGGAGGAAATAGATAAAATTTGAGTGGGGATTAATTTGTATTTGTTGTATACAAATTGATTCAATCGTGGTGCTATTGTGCACAAACTTGTAAATTCCATTAACATGGGAATTGTCATTGTTGAGGTAGAGATAGTTGTGGCATGGGTTGGAGCCAATGGTATCATAGCAAATGGGACCATCGATCTTGTGTCGGTTCAGATTAAAAAAAAAATTATATTCTCTCATAATTTAAAACTAAAATGAGCTTTTAATGTGCATACATATGGATTAATCTACAAGTAATTTGCTTAGTAAGGAAGTGAAATCAATTTTTGGCATAAAGGCAGAGACGACGCGGACTCCTCCGTACAGATTTTACAATTGGATCACCCGCAACATCAAACGCGAGGCGTGCTACAACTTATAATTTTTAGTTGGAAGTGCAATCATTAGCACTTTTGCAGCGAACAACCATTATTTAGCGAATTAGAAAATTATGATCTGATGGAATGCAGGACTTCGTTCCCCCCCGGGGGGGGGGGGGGGAATGTACATATAAGCGCTAGGTTTAACAAGGATGGATGGAAGCCATGAAATGCTACAACCCTAGTTTAATTGTGTTGGTGCGAAGAATAAAGAAAGCTACTTTTGACCAGCGAGGACAGGCATGTTTTAGAAAACAGCACTGTCTCGAATCGGAAAGAAAATCCCAAATGCAGAGGATCCCTTTGATCCAATTATACCACCAAAAAACCTACCGGATTATCTTTTCTACTTTACAAAAATCAAGAGCCCAAGCGGATAATGTTTGTATTTCTCAAAGACTATTTCGCATCCACAGTCACATCAACTTTTCTATTCTATACTGTGCAGTATCATCTAATATGGTTTCTCCGCTTCGGCATCTCCATCTACCATTTCTCTTGTACTTATTCTTGGGGTGCATTTTCCTCGATCCCAAACCCGCGCTTTTCGGTTGAACTGAGCAGTGCATTTTCCCTGCGTTTTCCAACACCATCGGGTGCCTCATTTGCTTCTGTTGTATTATAAAGGAGATCGAGAGGAGTCGCTGCTGGATCCAGCTCTCGACAACCTTTTGGGGCATTGTGAGCTTCTTGTCCTGTAAGCAAGTGATAAGGAACCTGATGAGAGAAACGAAACAGCTCGCCTTTAGGAATCCTCATTAACCCTCGGGGGTCTCCGTGCCTATCGAACACGGTCCTAAATCCAGCAACCTTAGTGAGTGGGGTAACGACTACACCTTGACCTTTGTCAAAATCTTCAACCACCTCTACCATGTCATACTTGTGTATCACTTCATCTGGAGTACGTCGGTTCCAATCTGGAGACCAGTTTCTATAAAGAGCCCACACTTCCCCCTTGACAGGAAAGATGCGAACAACTCCTCTGGTGCCTTTTGTCCACTTAACCTTGTGTGAAAATGAATTTAATGATTCGGTTATTTCATGCTTGCCGGTTCTGAAATCCCCGCACGTTTTGTAAAAACCAGAACCTATCCAGTCTATTGGACCCAATTCACTATTGCTTCGAGAGTTAAGCCAACTGATCCGCATCTTAAATGGCTTCAAGGATATCACCTTGTGGATTCGAGCATAATACCGAGGCATCCCATCATCATCATCATAAGCAGCCCAGACCTGGTCCTCTTCAAAAGAATTTTCAGCTCTATCCAAGTCAAAATTGTGAAAATCTGAGTCTGGAACAGTAATCGTCATACAGGCTTTGTCCATCTTAATTGAATCACTGTCCAGATGCTGGTTACCACTAAGAGCGGACACACCATGCTTCTCCGCATTAGGTGTTTTGTCATTCAATGTGCTTATGGTTCTCTTGTTCTGTTTGTGCTTCTTGGTATTCTTAGCTTCAGTTGTTGATCTCCATTCTTGGACTTTCTCACGAAGATCGCTTTGAGCCCTATGTATCAACATATTCCGTATTTCAAACATTCCTAATTCTCTCATACTGTGGGGCCTGCTGGTAATACCAGAAAACCCCAAGGTCCTCTCTGTTTGCCAGTTAGCCTTTCTTGATTCAGAAACATAACCGAATCCTGCAACCCAATGTCCCATGGAAATATTATTAGCCATGTATCCTGGATCACCATTAATGCCAATCTCATCCGTCCTCCTCTTCTTCAATGTCTTTTCTACCTTATTTAAGGAACCTTCAGTCCTCTTTGACATTTGACTCCTCTCCCATTCAGCAATTGATGGTGCTCTCTCACAATCTTCTGTCATTTTCTCACTTGCCTTCTGCACAACATTTGCTGCTTGAGCACCAATAGATGATGGGCCATCTCTGCTCCCATAACCAGCCATTTTGGACTGAGGACTACACTTAGAGCTTGTATTGTTAAACATTCTGCCGGAGGAATCTCCTGCTTCTCTATTTTGAGAAACTGCACAATTGCTTCCTGGATTATTCCCTGCAGAACGTAGTTGAGAATTCTGACACTGTTGGCTGGAAGACCGATTTGCTGACTTGAAAATATTGGGAGGCGGAGGCATATCTTCAGCCAAGAAATGCTCATTACAGGTGGGACAAATAAGCGTATGATTCAAATAGATCTTGAGATATTCATAATGTGTCTTGCACTGGTTACAGATTGTCCAGAAGGTACTAGCCTTTGGAGGAGGAGCTGATGTGGGTTGTCGACGAGTATTATTATTTCCATTCCTCACATTCGTAGTCTCATTCTTGTTAAAATTGTTAAAACCATTTCTACATGATGCTTCTGACTGAGTTCTGCCATGGTCAGAAGCACTATGTTGAAATCCTTTCAAACTTCTATTCTGGTTATATGCTTGTCTCCTGGCCTTATCTGATAGCATACTCCACGCCTCTGAAACCAGCTTAAATGCACCTTCTGCGCCTAAAGACTTGTTTTTGTCAGGGTGAAGAGTGAGAGCCAGCTTTCTGTAATGATTCCTAACTGTTTCATCATCAGCGCAGGGTTTCACTTTAAGTATACCATGCCAATCCATTTCTCCACTTACTTTATTCTCGGCAGAGATATAAACATCAAGAGTAGTCAAAAACTGAGAAATACCATCCAGTGCAGGACACAGATTTAGAGCCTTGACGGCAAGCTTCTTTGCATCAGCATATTCCCTTTCTGAAAATTTCCTCTCTGCTAGTTCTTTCGCCCTAACTGCCTCATCCTTGTTGCACTCCATTTTTTGGTTGTCTCAACTTTGGATATGCTTACCCTCACCTAGCTATAGACAATAAAGAATTCTCTACTAGCATTGGATTCTACAACATGATCACTTTGTTTGATGAAACCACTACATATTGTACCTGACTGAAAGAAGAAAATGAGACATGCACTGCAACAAGTAAAAATTAAAAAGCAAAAAGCATTACAAAATAAGCATGCAATAAGAAATTAGCATAAAGTTATAACTGGGACATGATAAAATGTCGTCCTCCGGGAAAAAGTGACAGTGGCCTAGGACTACTGTGCTACAATAACATAATTTTGAGGTCCACAAAGCGTCTAATTCACATAAACTCGACTAAAGCATATGAAAAATAAAAATATATGCACTCACAAGTAAATTTAGTGATGTATAATTTCACATTTTCCAATCTTAAATATGAGAAACGTTTCATTTCCACGCTGTAAGCATTGCTTTTTTTTCCCCCCAACTCTAAACATCTTGAAGAGCCAATCTTCACCTAGCACCACCAAGAAGTAGAGAAGCAAAGGAATAGAGCTTCAAACTATAAAATTACATGAAAGGCTTACTGAAATCTGACAATCAGACGGGTAGAGTTCAACTTAAAAAAAAAATAAGAATTAAAGAACTAAGTTTTCAATCAAGGGAGAAAGCTGAAAAGAGCGGAATGTTATCTTAAATTTTCGGGAGCGAATGGATCCAAAATCAAATAGCAACACCCCCGTCCCAAATAAAAACCAAGAAGGAGCAGCAGCAGCAGCTTTCACGTACTGCTGACAATAAGAAAACTACAGTATATCATACTCGCCTAGCATCTTTTTCAATCCCATAATTTCTTGGGCAAAGCAGATCTCTCCAAAGAGAAGAGACTTCTTTCGATAATCATTTATAAACTCGACTCAAACATTAGGAGGCACATTCAAGCATCAAATATCACAGATAAAAATTTCCAACGCTAGATCGTCATAAAGCGGAGAAGAAAAAAGAATTAGAGATCTTAAGAGTCTAGATTGGTACTGATGATAAAAAAAAATACAAACGTATTCCAATTAACAGGCCAACTAAATGCCCTTCGCAAACAAAGCAAACAGCACGCAGATTCAGAAAGTCAGAAGCCAAGAATTATTTCTCGACTGTCTTCATGCAAGTTCTGGCACAAATGGCCAGGAGGAGAAGAAATAGAGAAATCAACCACTTTTCAGACAGAGTTCTAAGCCCACGAAAGCCCGCCTTGGATCTACAGGGGCATGCATTTAGAAAGCTTATAATGGTCAAAATTCACAATTAAAGTTCGGTACTTTAGTAACCCTAGAGTCTGATGAATCACGAATCTAGCGAACATGTTAACAGCCAAAGCATACGGCGCAGTGACGATCACATTGATGGAGTAGTGAGAAAATAAAATACCAATTTTTTTTGAATGGAAAAAGAAATAATAATACCGAATTAGAGAAGACCAGTGACGTTAGAGAGTTTAAATCTCAGACGACCATCCATCCCCTGGTCAGCATGCCATGCACAATGACCCTTCTGTCAAAACTCAAGACCGCTGAGAAACTATAGAGTGTAATTGCCCCAAATTACCTTGCGAAATGAAAAATAGAAATTCAATGGAACTTTTTTTTTTTTTGTGTTGAATTGTTTTGCAAGACGCCCTTTTTATATTGCATTTCAAACCAAAATATCTAACCATAGTTACTTTTTAACTCTCATGAGGGAGTAGAATTGTGGCTTAACCGCGCCCATATTAATCAAATCTATTTAGATAGGTCTTACATGGATGACATGGTAATTGGACGAATAAATTGCCCTGTATATAATTAATAAATAATATCCCATGTTTTAAATTTTATGTTAATATTGATTGATGATGCTATTTTTCATTTCATCTTTAATTTCCCTATATATAATTAATTGATTGATTAATTTCAGTGCTCTTGGCATAATAATAAAAAGGCATGCATTAAATTGTCTTAAATTATTGAAAAAATTAATCATTTGTTCTATATAGTTTTAACTTAATTGTAATTCAATTTTTAAACTTTAACTCGTTATAACTCAACTCCTAAAATTTTGAATCGGTTATAGATCAATACATAAACTTTGCTTCTTGCAATTTAATCCCTGAAGTTTCAACCTCTAAAATATTAATTCTTATGTTTTAAAAAATAAAATTATAAAGATTCAAAATATTTTAAAATTTAATACTAACATTTTAAATTATTAAACCCTTTTAATCTTTATAAAGATTATAAATTATAAATATTAGAATTTTAAAATATTTTTAATCTTTATAATTTTATTTTTTTAAAATATAAGGACCAATATTTAAGATGTTGAAATTTCAAGAAGTAAATTGCAAGATGTAAAGTTTAAAGATTGATTTATAACTGAGCCAAAACTTCAAGGATTGAGTTATAACGAGGAAAAGTTGAAGAATTGAGTTACAATTGAGTCAAAACTATAAGGAATAATTAATTAATTTTTCTTAAATTATTATATAATACAATATAGGATAATATAATACTCCCTCCATCTCAAATTATAAGATACTTTTAGATAAAATTTTACATACTAATAAACCTTATTAAATACACTTAATAACCTTATTTTTTAAAATAAAAATATAAACTTTCAAAAATAACCATCGTTTAATATATTAAAAAGAGAAAAGACATAAATTATTTATAGAGAGAGAAAGGATAATATTAAAATTAGTGTATTTAATAAAACTTTAATTTATTCAAAGTGTTTTATATTTTAGGAGGAAGAAACTCCTTCAAAAGTGTTCTATAATTTAAAATGAAGGTAATATAATCTAATAAAACTAATTAGTGTTGATGCATGAACAATTGCCCGGTTTACAAAAAACTAAAGATACCTCTCTTTCTCTTTTTCTTTCTTTTTGTTTTTCAACTAGTATGAGACATCTCATTTTAGACTCCATACCAATATATTATCTCTCATTAATTATTAATTATTAACCCTTTTAATTATTATTATAAAACACTTTCAATTGTTTCAAGTATTTTAAGAAAAGTTAACTTTTTTTATATCATACAAAATGTTATATATATGTTTATTTTTATTCTTAGTTTTAAATAATGACATAACTATATTAAATACCTCCATGCTAATTTGGAAAAGGTAAAATTGAAAAAAGTACATTTTGAACTAAAAAATTAGAGGGAGTAATTATTATGAGAAGAAGTTATGGAGTAATATTAAGGTTAAAGTCTAAATGTGTCCACGTACTCTTTCTCTAGGAGCGATGGGCACTGTATACTTCTTAGTGGGGTAATTTTTCACTCTGAAATATTTTTTAAGTCCAAATATTCCCTTCTATTAGCTAGGTGTGAAACTGATCGTTATACGTTAATGGGCAATTCGTGGGGCCTATGCGTGGCACTTACTTGGCTTCAAAGGTGGCTAGTTCGACCTTTTTAATTAGATACATGTCCCCTCTTCTTTAAAACATTAAAAGCTAACCCAATTTGAAGGAAACATTCATTGTCTTTATAATACGTACATGTTGCATTGGCTCCAAACACTCCACCTTCAACTTTTATAATCAAGTCCTTCAATAAACCTTGGGAAAATTAAAATCCAATCCTACTTTTAAATCTAAATTGAGGGCCAACAAACCAACTCATAAAGCACAACTATCAAATCTATATGCCAACTATCTAATCTATTTCAGTTCTTAGTATGAATCTACCTGAAGAATGAACAAAGCAAGAAACGCAAGCAAAATGAAAATTTTAGAAGATAAGTGTAACATCTCAAAATTTTAGAAGATAAGTGTAACATCTCAAAATGAAATCCGTTGGGGTTGTGTGTGTGTGAGGGGGGGGATGAAAGAAAGTGAGCGTGGGACCCACGCCTAAATTAAAGACACGCAGACTCCTCTTCATTCTTCCATTCATTCTTCGGACTCACCGGCGGCAAAAACGGAAACAGAGCGTGCGTGCATCGGGACAACAAAATTTGATTGGTTCCATAATAAAATATTTTGAATGAAATTTTAAATATTTCTTAGTCATATTTTTTTCTTTAATTCCTAATTTTGGGGTTATGAAAATTTTAATGTTTGAAAGGAGGATGAATTTATTATGAATAAATATAGTGGTTAAAGTTGTTGGTAGTATAATAAAATTCTAGAGCATTATTTTGTCAATAGAATTTAAACTTGAAGCTTTTGAGTTAAATTATAAATTTCTATGGTTAGATTTTTAGTTAAATTTAAAAAATATAAATTAATTTTTTGATGTTTAAATGATTATTTGAGATGAGAAATAAATTATTATGGCTATAAAATGATTATTCAAAGCTTGAAACTAGATTTGTAATTTTTGGATATTTTTAAATGTGAATTTATGCTAAAAAAATGAAAATTTATGGAATAAAAATAAAAATTTTGATATTAAAAAATTGTTTCAAGAATGATTTTAGTCAAAAATTTTAATAAAACTATTGTGAATGAAACTATTGAATCAAGTGAGTAGGTTTAAATATATGAAGTTAAATTTTAAAATTCAAGAAACTAAAACTAAGGTCTTAAAAAAATACTTAAGTGTTGGGATATGAGTGAAAATTATGTTAACAATATTAATGACACATTTTTATATGATTAATTATAAATTAATTATCATTTAACACCATTCAAACTTTGAAAAGCTTTGAAAGTATTGATCTGAGGGGTAACATTTGATCTCTCAAAGATTGAAGTAATTGAGGGAAAATCTATTTTATATATTTATGTGTTAATTAATTGTTTGTGTTTGTGAAATAAATGAACATACATATACATACACACACCAACGAATCTTGAAATTTTTGTATGTAATGCATATATAGTCTTACTGAGTTTCCATAATTTGTGACAAAGTTAATTATAGTATATGTAAAGAATTTGAATGTGATGGCTGTATGTAGAGAAAAAGATATGAATATGAAAGCTTGCTTGTAATGTAGAATATTAATGTTACTTTATGCTTTTATGGATAATGTGACATGATTTGAATGATGAAATTAAGGGTTGATGATGATGTACATATACTTAGTTATAAATTATGGATTATACATGATGATGAATTGTATATGAGTGTGTTGAGTTTTCATATGATGCTAATGCAATTTATGAGGTAACATGAACATTGATGCATCAGGCGTGATTGAGATATGATAATTTTTTTATGCTTGCTAAGCATGAAAATTTGATAAACATACGAGATAATTGTAAATTACATATGTGAGAGTTATTGAAATATATTTTCTCATGAGCATGATCATATGGTGGGATTTCACCTTAATGAATTAGCTAGCAATTGTGTAAAATACATATGATATTTGGATATTAACCATTAATCCTAAGGTCTATAGCTATTACTTATCTTATGGGGCACTGTAGCATTGTTTCTATTAAAGAACTTAATCCTACTAGCCTACTTGGAGTTTTAGGTAGAGTTAGTCTTGGGTATGATGTCCCATAGTGTGTAATTTAGGGAAAAATCGTGTTCATAAGTGAGTAAAGTAGTTCTGACCCAGTAGCCTTTTATGATATGATTAAGGCCTTGAGTGATCTCATCATATGGATAATCCCTTTCAATTGTTGGCTCACAAATTTCATGTCAAATGAAATAAAGAGGATATAAAGAAGATATTGAACTTGTATTTCATTATTGTTTTGCAATTTGAGTAATTAATGACTATATTTGAGATTATGTTTGTAATTGTGAAAATGAGAACACGTAATAAATATGTAAAAAATGTACATGTAGGCACTTATGCCAATTTTGTGCAAACATTTAATATTTGTGGGCGGTTATGCTAATTTTGTACTTGACTTTATTCTTGAAATTATTCATATGAGTTAGATATTAATGTGATTAACATCATCATGGTATGATTGGTTACATAGTTATCTTGATGAATTTATTAGCCACTTGCATTTATGATTAATTAACATGCATTTATATAACTGAGATATACCTTAGTTACTGAGTGATTGTATTTACCCTTTTCTTTGAATATATTACAGAAGCTACCTTATTTGGAAAGAACAGAGGAAAGGAGCATCAAGCCAAGTGATAATAATCACTTTTGTAGGCCACCTTTTTTTATTTTGATATGTGTATTTAGTTTATGATATTGCCAATCAAGGCAATATATTCTTGATCTACTTATATTATGAGTTTTGTGTTTGATGGAAGTGTATTTTAGGCCATTAGAAATGTGGTTTAGTGCTTATGTTTATATTAGTGAGCCAAAATATTTGTGCAGGTAGAAATACTTATTATATGCCTGAGTTGAGAACTTAAATATTGTTATGGTCTCCCCTTGTATTTTAAATATCCAAGTGTGAGCATTTGATATTAACTATGTATGAATGAA